TTGAAGAGAACCGTCCACCTCAAAGAGACATTCGTTTTCTTCCAGCTAGCTGGGCAAATGAATTTCCGTTTTACTTCCGACTATTTGATGAGCTAGGTTGAAGAGAACCGTCCACCTCAAAGAGACATTCGTTTTCTTCCAGCTAGCTGGGCAAATGAATTTCCGTTTTACTTCCGACTATTTGATGAGCTAGGTTGAAGAGAACCGTCCACCTCAAAGAGACATTCGTTTTCTTCCAGCTAGCTGGGCAAATGAATTTCCGTTTTACTTCCGACTATTTGATGAGCTAGGTTGAAGAGAACCGTCCACCTCAAAGAGACATTCGTTTTCTTCCAGCTAGCTGGGCAAATGAATTTCCGTTTTACTTCCGACTATTTGATGAGCTAGGTTGAAGAGAACCGTCCACCTCAAAGAGACATTCGTTTTCTTCCAGCTAGCTGGGCAAATGAATTTCCGTTTTACTTCCGACTATTTGATGAGCTAGGTTGAAGAGAACCGTCCACCTCAAAGAGACATTCGTTTTCTTCCAGCTAGCTGGGCAAATGAATTTCCGTTTTACTTCCGACTATTTGATGAGCTAGTTTGAAGAGAACCGTCCACCTCAAAGAGACATTCGTTTTCTTCCAGCTAGCTGGGCAAATGAATTTCCGTTTTACTTCCGACTATTTGATGAGTTAGGTTGAAGAGAACCACAATCAATACCTTCTGAAGATATACAACCCGTGGACATGTCTAACATTTTTGAATACCTATTTTAAGACAAACCCAGAGGCTAAGTTTACACTGCCGGCTTCTTGCGCGTGAATGCACCACAAGTTTTTGCTCAAAAAACAGCCGGTTTTGGGCAAAAACTCTGCCGTGTAGATGTAGCTTTCATTAAATATGATGGAATACATGCTATAGCCCTCCTCCGTTTTCCATTTTCGCCAGTAATATTTCTAAGCTGTTCTACGTTGTAACTAAATTCTTAAGCCTTCGTCCAGTAATCGTTCCAGGTGATGAGATATTTCAACTCACGGAAACCATTCGTGGTGGTTTACGGTTTGCTTAGAAACAAGTTTACGGTTTGCTTCGAAACAAAGACGTTATTTTAAACGGTCGGAGCAGTGTCGTGTGTTTTATACCGACGCTCGATACTTTCCCACAAAGCATAGTGAAATTTTGTGACCGTGTCTTGTTAGGAAAATCCCATGTATTTGTGGAAAAGTGTCGACCTTTTGTATACAAAACACTACACTGCTCCGACCGTTTAAAATAACGTCTTTGTTTCGAAGCAAACCGTAAACTTGTTTCTAAGCAAACCGTAAACCACCACAAACGGTTTCTGTGACTTGAAATATCTCGTCAGAGGGAACGAATACTCGAGACACGCTTAAGAGTTTAGTTACAACGTAGAACAGCTTAGAAATAGTACTGGCGAAAATGGAAAACGAAGAAAGGCTATATCATGTATTCCATCATATTTAATGTTGTGTTCCTCGTGCTACAAACTTTCTGCAAATCAATCTGTTCCTTTTGCCCCCCAGCTGAATATCGCCAAGAGCACCTGGCCCATCTTGAGTGGCTTCCAGGAGGGGCCTCTCAACTTCCCGCCCACCTTCAAATTTGATGTGGGCACCAACCAGTACGACACCAGGTAGGGGGGTGCTGCATGAACTCCTTCCTGCTGGGGATGGGTGGAGACTGTGGGCGGGTGTGTCAGGGCAAAGGGCACAGGGATTGGTGGAGAATACGGGCAGGTGTGTCGGGGCAGGGGGCACAGAGATTGGTGGAGAATACGGGCGGGCGTTTCAGCGCGGGGGCTCAGGGATTGGTGGAGAATACGGGCGGGCGTTTCAGTGTGGGGGCTCAGGAATCGGTGGAGAATACGGGCGGGCGTTTCAGCGTGGGGGCACAGGGATGGGTGGGGGCTCAGGGATCGGTGGAGAATACGGGCGGGCGTTTCAGCATGGGGACACAGGGATCGGTGGAGAATACGGGCGGGCGTTTCAGCGCGGGGGCTC